CATATATATATATATATATATATATATATATCAGCAGTCTAAGTACGGCAATTTCACATTTACATGTAGCCCGTATGGGACCGCGCTACCCAAGCACAAGCTGTAATATTCGGAAGGCGTGTGGTGGCGGAGGTCAACTGCTGTTCTTTGGAACTCCTTTGGCAAATAAATTGACACTATATGGATCTCAGAAATGTCTACAACTAGGGCCATGCATCTTCGCCATAGCATGTATCTTGGCGTGGAATTCCGGTGCCATGAGAGCTACCATTCAAGTACATGTGGAATATGATAAAACCCACAATTACAGCGGAAGCGTGGACTGTGAAACTATCAGAGAGCGTACGAACAGTGGACGCCCGTGTTATCTTCCTTGCAAGTGTGTATTATTTTTCTCATCCAACAGGGCTGCCTATGACAACTATTTCTGTTGATGTATGCGTGGGCAAGTGGACGATACAGAGTCTACGCTGACCACTCCGAATGCAGCGTCAATGTAGACGCTTCCTCATATCATAGATGTACAAATAATCCGCATTTTTTTGTGATAGTGGAAACAATCCCCGTTGTGTGCAATGCATCCAGAACAGCCACACAATTCGAATGTGCTGTGCACAAGTTAGCTGCAACTCAAAGTTGGCACTGCCGGTATTGCTATTGAGAGGCAGCAGGGAGAGAAACAGGTTTCTTCCACTTCAAAACCATGTCGCTGGGGAGAGGGGGCGGGGGGAGGTGGGCAAAAACATACTTAAAGAGCTAGGCGTCGCGCTTTTTCGCTTGTCATCCTATCAGAGCATGCTTATTGTTACCCCTGTTTTCCAGGGTTACAAGCGTGCCCACATGAGAAATTGAGCCTACTATAGTACACGTCCTCGCAGGGAAACTCTGACAAGTGCTAATCAGATTGAACGGTACTCTTCTGGCCTTCTGTCCTTGTGCGCTTAACGCCGTGTAGCAGATGCAAGGCGGTGCTGTCCTCTGACCGTTTTGGCCAGCTCTATCCGATACGGGGGCTCTGACTATTAGCCATCACTTTGCCGGAACACGACAGGCGTCTGCTTCCTGCTTCTCGTGCTGGTCTGCGGTGATTTCCCTATCGTCGCTAGGCTTGACGGTAGTCGCACTGAGACTGAGGCATATCTGCCCCAGTTGGTGTGACAGAGTTGATGCCATAGCAAATCCCTTTACAGCAACGAATCCGCTTCGCATATCTGCAATGAATGGGGTATAGGTGCAGCTGATGCCAGATGATGGAACGGCGGCGGCAAGGACGTCGAAAAAAATGGATCCGCAGAAGGCAAGAGAAGCCGCGGCTGCCAACGCAGCCGACATGGTCTTTCCTCCAGGCTGGAAAAGGCCATGAAAGGCTGCGGCCAAAATTGAGCCAGCGAAGGCTGCGGCGAGTCCAAGAAATACAGAATGACAGCGAAGCAGAAGTCCAGCCAAGGCTGTAGCCTGTTCCCCTACTAGTGGCATGAGGCCCGTAAACGGCTGCATGCATGCAGAACTCCAAAATGACTGGTGCAGCAGCACATATGCTAGGGGGAGAGCAAAAAACGCCAGGAAAAACATCTGGCTGCCTCCGGCAAGCCACTGTCGTGAATAGGCGGGTTCGGTCCTAGGCTTGCCAATATTCTGTAGGTGGCGCATTGTCTTAAAGGCGAACCAAAGGCCAACCAAACGCGAACCGTCTGCAAACAATGGGAAGACTAACTGGCACAACGGAGAAAAAGGTAATAGGAGAACTTGCGCAGATGCGATGCGTGGAGGGTACCCGTGAATGCCAGCCTTCGCACCTTCTGGGGACTGCCCAAAAAATGGCGGTTCCTGACGAGGTTCATGGGTTGCACTCCGCGGGAGGTGCAGCAACGGCCAAAACGAGGCATACGTTTTGATCAGATCCCACAATACAAACCCTATCAAGGTTTTCAAAACATGTGAAGACGACTTTTTCCGTAGCTCATGAAAGACGTCTGAAATATCAAAAGTTTTCTCCATTCCGGATTCAGCCAGAGGTTCGGTGGCTGCTAGCTCACGCACTGATAGGCTGCAAGAACCTTGATCGTATGCTTTCCTTTTCGAACCGCATATAGTTCCCACATAGCACATACACGCTAGGCAAATGCCTGGGAGCCCCGAGAAAAGAACGGACAGCGAACCCACACCTTGGAGAAGAGAGGGATGTGCCAGACCCAGCCTTTCTGTCAATACTAGCAAATATCCACAAGTTGTTACAACAGACAAGGTGGCCCAAATCATTTGTCGCCTCGTAAATGAAGGAGCCGTTTGTTTAACTTGCATTGGCGTGCACGGTGGCTGGCTTACAGTGCCGCTACTCTCCTTGACCTGCAAAGTAGTGCTTGATTGTTTACACGGTTCGCTGTGAGTCACTGGTTCATCCTCCTGACATTCAGCCACTGGTTCTCCCTCCTGCCACCCAATCACTGGTTCACTCTGTTGACATCCAGTAACTGGTTCATCCGCCTGACATTCATTAGGTGAAGGTACACCGGCCTTCCGCCCTTCATGATAATTCCAAGTAACCGCCAGTTCGGATGCATAGGGGTCACTGCTTATCTTACTACTGTTGGCCGAATCATCTGAGAAAGAAAATGCAATGTTCCTGGCAAGTTGCCTGTAAGAAGGGGGACGGACAGCCTGTGGTGACTTTTGTGGTGAAGTTGTTAGGATGAAGCTCGTGTCTGTAGGAGGAGAGATGGGCTGATCCCCTAGATTTCTCGCTTGTCTGTCTGTTAACTGGCTCCGCCTTCTACTTTTTGCCATGGTTGCTGATCAACAGAGATCTCGTAGTGATATTCCTGATGCATAAAGGTGAGCGCGATGGTCTTGTCAAAACGGTCGATTGTGCAGGATGTGTCAAAAATATAAAAGGAATTACAGTAGAACGCGAAAATAATAGCTTTTTTTGTCTTCCTAAATATAGAAGCAATATACTTTCAGCGTGCTTGCAGCATACTGAATTATATTGGGACGCGTTTCCTTAAGAAGATCTCAGTAATTTGCGCACAGAGGAGCACTGCTCGTTTGCATGCCCTATCGAGCTTACGGAAAGCGGGGAATGACCGTGGGCCCACAGCCATCCCAGTTGTTTACAAGAAGCGGAGGCCTATATGCTGGATAACTTAATATTTTCTTGCACATCCCAACTAGGTCTTTGAGCATTTATACCCGGCATATCGGTTGCTCTGTCAGATGACCCTAGCGGCCGCGCTTGGGGAACGAGATGTAATGCAGCTGTAGCGCACGAACGAGGGGAACTATCTACTTCTGTGCAGTAGAAAGCTGGTACGTGCAGTGTGCCAAAGCATTAATAACAATTCTTTGCGTTAGTATACTAAGCCCAGGAAGCATAGGCTGTACAAGAATGCACCGTGGGGCTGCCCGCCAGATGCATGCGTTGAGCCCTGGGGCTGGATGGCATAGATGCATGATCTAGTGGAATGTTAGCTTAGACAGGAAGAACATTCTTTCATGCAACCTGATGGAATTGGGTTGTTTTAGGCAGACGTCCAGTTGAGAGATCGTGAGTAGATCCCTTAAAGTGCAATACATTCATGCCGCCCCACCAGTTCTTTTTTGGTGCATTTGTAGTGCCGATGCTCAAACAGCATCTCTCACACATTTGTGCAAGTATTTCGCACAGGTCCTTGTGCTTTTTGGTGGGTTACAATCCACGCATCTGCAAAGTGTCAAGATCATGCAGTTTCTGCAGAACTGCTGGTGATTAGCATTCCGTGAAATTCAGAGGGTTGGTATGCTTAGGGCACTGAACAGTGTACTCCTAACATTATGCTAACCTCCTAACCTTCCGCGGTTGTGTATGAACGCCTACATAATCCAGTTCTAGTTAGGCTGAGCTGGAATGTTGCAATTGCATGAGCCTGGTGCGCTGCACTTTACACTACCATAGGCAGCTGAAGGTATGGCTTTGTCTGTCGGTTGTCGGTGCTTTGGACTGATGGTGTGCACGTACTTTTGGTATTTGAGCACTCCAAGATACGTCCGACCAAGCTTTGATACTCATTCGTCCTCTACCAATATTTTGTCCCATGTGCAAAAAGTAGCAATTTTCGTTGGCACTGGACACTGTCGAATATATCTCTGTAGCTCGACAAAAGCTACAACTGCCCCCTACTTGGATCTACTTTACGAGGTAACAGTATGAACAACGAAGAGCATACTCAACTATCGATGGAACAGCACCAAACCCCTTTACGTAATATAATTTGGTTTCATAAGCTAGAATACTTGTGATTCAAATGCCCTCATGAAAATGACTAAAATGCGGATTTAATGTATATCATCACAATTTACCCTCCACCCGTGGGAAGTGCACTTCAATCCCCATGACTTCTTAATTTCGGAATTGTGGTCTATCACGTTGACCAGTAACAGTGTACGCTACCACCTCTTACTGGTCCGCCCTTTAGCCAGCCGACGAAAGAACAGTGTGCGCTACCACCTCTTCTTTCGTCGGTTGGCTAAAGGGCGGCGCACTCAGCTACTCACCAGTCGCAAAACCAGTTTGTGACTTTCTTTGGGGGTTGAGGGAGTGCAGCGTCCCTTCCGAAAAGCGTAGCTCACCTGTCCTCAATGAGGCTGTTCAGACAGCAGTGGTCCACCGATGTTTCCACAGAATCAACATTCAAACGTGGCCTATTTAATGAGCTAATTGGAGTGGGTGGCAGCTAGCTCATCCTGTCTGCAGAGAAGTGGGAATAAGAGTAACATCTAGAGCCCGATGTGACTGATTTGCTACAGGCTGCTAACCTTGTGGCATTGAGAGAGCTCAGCAGAGCACATCAGGATCCCAATGTTCCACTACGATTAGCACTGCCTGTCGCGCGTGACTTCTGAGGCCCCATTAAAACCCTCAAATGTTTTCTATTGTTGTCTCACTTTTGAACTTTTCGTCCAGAAGAGACCTCGAACTCGACATTGGTGGATTAAGCCAACATGCGTGCACCATTGTACTACTGATGGGCTCGCTGATGGAAACCACTGAGTGCCCCTTTGCTGAAGCTTGAATGGTAAGCTACTGTCATTTTAGGGGATTCAACAGCTTCCCTACTATTTTTCTTGGGCCCAGAAGCTAAAGCAACGCCCACACGATACTACCCAATCGTGTGGCAGCCCACGTAGTGTTTACCGCGAAATTTAGTATAAAAGCTTTAAAAAAGTAGGGCTACACTTTTGGACGACCACAACTGATACCCTAGAAACACAAAACGTTAGACAAAACGGACCGGATAAGTTCCGAACAAGAGCAGGGACACAAGTAGCACATAGGCCGGCTGACCATCCGCTTTGGAGGCTGCCACAACGGAAGCCCCGCAATCCGGGATTTTTTTGCAATCCAGGGATTTGGTGAGTGGAGCAAGGGAAATGTGAGGAAGAAAAGCACTTCTTTCTTCATGCTAACTTAACTCATTTAAACCTTCAAGTGAACATAATGAGGTGCTTAAGAAGGTACTTCGGGTATTGGGGACTCTACAACACCTATTGTATTCAGTTTAGGGGCATAGGTAGTGTGTGTGGCAAGGCTAGGTAAAGTGTTGCAGTGAAGTCATGCCACCAACCCAACGTACAGTACTCGCGTATCCTGCCTCAATCACCAGTATGCTTGAACACCTCCAGAATCGCGCTTATCTTTCCTTAATGACCCCTTGGTGAACCAACTTCAAAACGCTAATATACCGCTTTTACGCGCCAACCACTATGCGGCGCTTGCCCTGGCGCCGCCAAGTTCAACGCCCCACAAGGCGCATTATGGCTGGCTTGGCATGACTGCAATACCGCATATAATGCCAGTAAACCACGGCGTATGAAGCCTACTTTCACTCTGCCGTCTGAGACTGCAGAACATTTTGGCCAGCGGAGGTCAGCGGGTCACAAGTTTCGCCAAACTCTCCTTGGCCAATTGCACGTGTTGCACGAAAACGACTCTATCGAGATTCGCACTCGTGGTTGAAGGGGAACGTGCATTTCTGTGTCGATTGGCTTTATCGACGAGCCGAAAACTCACCACTCTTGTGACACACCCGCCCTGTCCAAGTGACCCCTCGAGGGACTGCTGAGAGGCTCTCAATCCTGCTGGTGTCCGGAGCCTTGGCCAGGCAGCTCCCTACTATTCGAACGAACGTGGCAGACCAAAGGTCTGGCATGAGAGAGAATTTTTGCTATCTTCGTCGCACCGTAAACGTGTGCGGGCGTCTTCTACAGTTTTTGGCCTGTTCCGTTTGCAACGCTGCTCAGTCCTGCCACTTGCGTTTTGTGCTCTGCTCTGTCACAGTAAAAGCAGCTCGGCTAATCAGCACCCCTTACTTGTGAAGGCGCTGAATTCATAGGCATCCCCAGTTGCTTTGCTGCCCTTGAGAAGCGCTACCTTTAAAATGTGCAGGTTCTTCTGTACCCTTTGCTAAGGCATAGCCTGCCGGTTTCACTATTGTCTAGGTGTGGCTCACTTCCGCCCTCTGTGCACCAAATTCGTCATTTTCCTCAACAGACGCGTTTGTGGATCAATCTTGCTCCCATCTGGAGCTGGCCAACCGCTGCTTCGTTCCTGTGGAACTGTCCTTTGAGGGACTCGCCGGTAGCGGAACTTCATACGCTTGATGGGGCTTTGACCATTTACGATTGGTATTACTCGCTACACTTCGCCAGAACATCAGAGAGTGATTTTTTGCCGGGATATAGGCGTACTTGCTGAAAGATGGAGCACCCATGGTGTGTTCTTTGCCCGTGTTCAGGTTGTGCTATGCTGTTACGTTTGTGGCATTGTTGGCGGAAAGAGTGCCAGGGGAACCTTCCGTGAACGTTGAGTACGACTGCACAAATGAACTTTCCTAGATAACACACGAAGACCTCTGCGTTTATCCTACTCGAACACTGCACGATTTGCCTACAGAAATACGGGCAACCAATTCCACCGGCGTTCAATGAGTCCTACAGTCCAGAGATGTGCACCCACGCTCTTCATATTTGGAGGTCAGGCACGGGTGGAGACATTTTCTGCCGATTGCACTGACACCAACGCGCACGCTGCTGGCCAAATAGGCAGAGCATATTGTGAGTAGCCGAACAACCCTGGACCTTCCCCACCACTCGACGTACGGACACACGCTGACCCTTCCGAAAACGAATTTTACACCGCCTTGGGAAGTTTTTTAGAAATGGTTCTTCAACGAGTATGAAATGAATCCATCCAGCTAGATGCGGTGCCCTGCTGGGTTCGCAGCCTTTTTGACACCCGCAACAATGCGCTGCTCCTAGGCGTGACACGGCGGCGCATTCCCTGCACCTCCACGAGACCAATGTCTAAATTAGGAATCGATTTCGAGACCAAGTTGATGTCCTATCCTGCATCGCCCAAAGACCCAGCTGCAGACGTTCTGGGAGCTTGGGACCCCAGCAAACTTGCGCATGCGGAGTTGCAGAGACTGAATTGACAACACAGATATCTTGCTCAATGAAACTAAGCGTAGTCAATACCACAGAGGTGGCCCACAACATTGTGGGCGGGTTTTGAATAAGCATTAGCACCAATCAGCACGATGCGCTTAGCCTTAGCCTAAGGCACACGGGAGGTATATGGCTGCCTGGTAGAACTTGAGCGCAGCAGTCCGCCGCTCGTCTGGATTATAGAGGCCCCAACATCAACAAAACATGATTCAGGAACTGTTCGTGGGACGGACTTGGGCTGTCCCGGATTGTAGCACTGTATGAAGCAGCCACAGGTGACCACCCACGTATCCATTGCATGAAAGAATATTATAATCACTTTTCTGACAGCAACTAGGCTTCTACTTGCAACACATACAAGGGTAGAGGAACGCATGTACCAATCGTACCGAGGATCACCAAGACGCGCATGCATCGGCAAGGCTCCCCATACACAAGCACAGCAAAGGATGATTCAGCACCGCCTGCAGCAAAGCCATAACGTTAAACCGTTTGATACACCCAACTGCAAAGCCTGCTTTGCCTTTGTACCTGCCCACTGTGGAAGTCCACGGTGAACTGAGGTTTAACAGGCCATGCGAAAACGGTTCATGCACTTCTTCTTCTGGGCAGGCTGGTGACCACCAGGTGCCACGTAGGAGTTCTACGGTTGCTTACAGTATAACTGCTCGTATCATATGCTGGCATAGTTAACTTCACATGCGTGGCTACCTTGCAGCGGGAGCTGCATCGAGGCACGTCATAACCGTTTCGCCTAACCTCACATATGCAGCAAACCTGCACCCTTATGCCAGTGTGAGTAGGGCACATGTTGACTTGAGGGCACCTCATCTGCTTCTTGGCATATGTGAGAGTATTCTGCCCACACTTCTGCAGCTCGCGACTGTCAGGGGCTAACGTCGATAACTCCACTGCCGAAGATTGTCTCCAGACCCTCACCTTTACTCTGCGCCGCAGATGAATGTGTCAGTGGCCGCCGTTGTAGGTAAACACACCCGACAAAGGGAAGGCGGCTTAAGGTTTTTCAGCAAGTGAGGCCGTTGCATAAGTGAATAGGCTTCTGCAACGCTGCTGCCTGCACCCGGGCCAGCGGAAACTAACTCAGAAACTAGCGAGTCGACAGCCTGATCCACGGCTCACCAGGGAAGTGGCATTCTGAAAGGATCTTTTACTCACATAGAAATACCAACATCCTAGACGCTACCCTTAGTCACAACCCCGGTGCCCGCTGCAGCAAACTTGGGCAGTTGGGAGCGGTCCCGTGTGACTGCTGTTGCTCTTTCGCAAAAATTGCCATTTATTTGATAATAGAAAAAATTTTCATATAATCTTCAAACCATACACGAAATCATACGTCTATTTGCCTCAAAGCCGCACCCTACGTAGGGGCATCGCTGCGTGAGTGCCGCAGCAGCAGAGGCGCGGGGTGAGCAGCAGCGACAGCAGCAGCAGTAGCAGTATAACAGCAGCAGCAGCAGCAGCAGCAGCAGCAGCAGCAGCACCAGCACCAGCAGCAGGCGGCCATGCTATTACGGCTTTTCGCGGTCAGTTGCGGGCAAATTGCGTTTATTGTGTAGGAGCGGTTTATTTTTATTCTTCGAAGCGTAGTTGTTCAGTAAGGGGCGCCGAATGCAGGCGAGATTCTGGCTTTTGCTCCGCAGCAGCAGCAGCGGTGCGCAGGCAGCAGCAGCAGCAGCAGCAGCAGCAGCAGCACCCGGCCTGCTGCTGCTGCCCGTGTGCTGCAGCACAGCAGCAGTTGCTGCGTCGAGGCTTTCACGGGGCGATCCGTTCCTAAGGCTCGGCTTCGGTTCCAGCTGCTGTTTGGGAGCCTTTTAGGCTCCTTGTCTGGGTCCTTTGTGTATTTTTGTGGTTTAGGGGGGCGCAGCAGTGTCTCTTCTCCCACTTCACGGGGTATCACGACACCCCACGTGCAGCAGCGCAGCAGCGGCGGGGCCCGAAGCTGTCCGAGTTATAGCGGATAGACAAAAGATAAATATATGAGGCGGAGTTCGCCTCTACTATGCTTCTGAGCCCAAGGGACACCAGGGCAGAGCGGTACATGCTGTATGTATAACCGGCGCAAGAAGTATACTAAGAGGGCCCCCCGGCAGCTGCAGCTGCACGACTAGAGCAGCGCGCTGTCTGTATCCTCACCCCACACTAGCTCTTACGAGGGGTATAGCATCCTTGTAGTTTCTGAAGGAGCTGGTCTCCCTCTATCAGAGCCTCTGCAGCCGCTGGTGTTGAAAGGACTAACGGCCGCCGTAGCTACAACAGCGGCTTCGACGGGAACTGCAGCAGCAACTGCAGCAGCAGCTAGCAGAACAACAAGTGTAGGAACAGCAGCAGGCATAACAGCAACAGGTGTAGCAACAACAGTTGTAGCAGCGACAGGCATAGCAGCAACGGGCGGTTCAGCAACAGCAAGCACCGCAACAGGATATAAGTAGCTGCAGCGCTCAGTTTAGAAGCAACTGCAGCAGCAGCAGCAGAAATAACAGGTACATGAACTTCTCGGCTCAACAAAGCAGCAGCAGCTGCAGCAGACGCCGATGAAGCAGGAGGAGCTGCCACCTCCCCCCTCCGCCGCCTTGGGCATGGCGGACTGCCCGCTCTTCCTCACGTCTGAGGGCCGGCTCTTCTTTACAAATAACGGCATCAGCAGCGGCAGCGGTGAGGGAAGCAGCAGCAGCGGGGTGTCTGCTACACAGCAGCAGCCTCTGCTGCACCTCACGGGAGATGTTAGCTGTTACAGAGAAGGGTCCTTGCACCGCCTTATTGCCGCCAGGAATATTCCGGGGGTTCGGCAGTGGCTAAGCAATCCCATATGCAGAGATACAATCAACGACTTTAATCATGCAGGTGTGCTGCTGTTATTGCTGTTGTTGCTGCTGCTGTTGCTGTTGCTACTGTTACTACTGTTTCCGTTAGTGGTAGAGGTGTTGCTGCTTCCAGTCCTTTTGCTGGAGCGTACCCTCTGCCTGTTGTTGTTGCTGCTGCTGCTGTTGTTGCTGCTGTTGCTGCTGCTCCAGCTTTTGAAGGGCTACTGGTGTGGCTCTGTTGCTGCGCAGGCGAGACGCCTCTCCACGTGGCTTTGCATGTCTGCGAACCACGAATTCTCTCGCTATTGTTAAACCCACCTCCCCTTCAGCTGCCGACGGAGTGCGTCTTGAGCAGCAGCAGTAGCGGCAGCAACTGCGGCGATGGCACTACCGCGGGGCTGAGGCCTTCGTCGGGTCTGGGTACTGCTTGTGGCGGATGGCCGGGGGAATCGGGGGACGCGGCAACTGCCGCAGCAGAAGGAGCAGAAGGAATCTCGACGTCAACGACGACATCAGCAGCAGCTGCAGCTGCAGCAGCTGCAGCAGCTGCAGCAGCTGCAGCAGCCGCTGCTGCCGTGGTGGTGGATTTTTCCCTACCACTAGATGACTTGCCACCGCTGCACATCCTTGTCAGCCGATCATCCTTTGCAAGTGTACGCGTTGATGCTACAGAGTGCTTGCGGCGTCTGCTGCAGCACGTCGGGCTGCTGCATGCAGCAACGGGTGGATCCCGTATCTGTAGCCGTTGCTGCTTCACAGCTGCTGCCCCAAGCAGCAGCACCAGCAGCAGCTGCTGCACTAGCCCCAGCAACAGGAACTGCAACGACGACGATAGCAGCAACAGCAACAGCAAGGGCGCTGCGTGGATTGGCTGCTGCCAGCAAGAACTGGACTTAGATGCAACTGACGGCAGCGGGAGAACGGCGCTGCACGTTGCTGCTGCAGCGGGCGGCGCTGCTGCAGTGGAGTTGCTGCTGCATGCGGGGGCAGACCCGCTGCTCGCGGATAAGCGGGGTCAGCTAGCTTTGCATGCAGCTGTGGACAGCAGGTCAGTCGATTCACTACTGTTGCTGCTGGCGCACACATTCCCAGAAGACTGTTTCTACTGGAATGACAGTCTGCAGCAACCGCAGCAGGAGCGGCTGGTGGTGGGAAGCGCAGCAGAAGCGGGACTCCTTGGGACCGGTCTTGACAGCAGGGCCCCCAAGAAGGTGGTGCTGCAGCGGACAGAGAGGAGGCCGCTGCTGCAGTCTGCAAGCAGCAGCAGCTTGCTGTATCGCTTAGCAAGGCGGTGCGTGCGGCGATGCTCTTTCCGCTGCCTGGCTGCCGTTTTATCCTTCCCGATGGTTCGTGCGGACAAGTGCAACAGCAGCAGCAGCAACATCAACAGCAGCAATGGCGGAGGCGCAGCAGCAGCTGGTAGTACAGCGCCAGCGACCTGCATGGCGTTGCAGCTCCTTGACTTGGAACAGCTGCGTTCTCTGATAGTTGTTTCACGTCGCATTGGCTGCATGCATTTGCTGCTGTCTACCCTGATGGAGTTGATAGAGACGGAGCCGTCGGAGTTTGCTGTTGCAGCGCATGCAATAGAAGAGGCAACGGGGGGGAGAGGAGTTACACGGCTGCAGCAGGGGCCCCACCAGGTGTACGTACAGCAGCGCTGCAGCCGCAGCGGCCGCACGTTTCGGATTCTAGAGGCTACTGGGACGCTGCTTGCAACTCATGAGAACTGCATGCATCATCTGCCCCTCCCTGAGCCCGCGGACTTCCCCATTAAACGATTTAAACTAATGCAGAGATTCCCTGAGAACCCAAGTCGACTCGAGGTGCGCATTTCAGGTGTACTGACAGATACTGACACCACAGCTGAGCCGTCGTTCCCCCATACTGGTGTTTCAGGGTAGCTGCTGCTACTGCCGATGGTGCTACTGCCGCTGCTGCAACTGCTGCTGCTGACGCCCATTTCTCTGCTGCTACTGTTTCTTCTGGTGCAGGTGCTGGTTCATCCTTCCTCTGGGGTACTGCGGGCTTCTGAGTTCCGCCACCTGGAGTGGGCCGACAGCTCCCCTCCTGCCTCTCTTGCGGACATTCTGCGTGTTCACGACGTCAGCTACGTCTTCAGACTTAAACAAAAGTGAGAAATACAAAATATACATTTTATGCATGTATTGAAACGAAAGCACATCTCTATACAAGAACAACTGTATGAGTGCTTCAACGCGGTGCCTGCTTATTGCTGCTGCCTGGTGCTGTGCTTCAGAATCCGCAGTACATTCGGGACACGGTCAGTAAGCAAGCCGTGCAGCAGCAGCACGAGCAGCAGCAGCAGCTCCAGCAGCAGCAGCACCAGTAGCAGTACGAGCAGCAGCAGTTATGCTGGGCAGGGACCAATGGATCCCTATGCATATTCCTTTGCTGATGGAGACACCCCCGTAACGGCCCTCAGCTGGGAGGCAGCAACAAGTGCAGCAGGAACAGTCATTGCTGCAGTTGATGCTGTATGCACAGGCGCGAAAGTTAATGCATTCTGTGCAGGTGAGCAACGGGAGAGGCAACGGACGCTGCAGCAGCAGTTGCATCGGATGCTGCTGTTGCTGCCCCTGTACTTGGTGGTGGCTCTGTGCATCTCTTACGAAGGTTCCATTCGTTGACTAGTCTAAGCGCGCCTTTGTTGTTGCTGCTGCTAATGCTGCTGGTGCTGCTGTATCGTTTGGTGTTTTTGCTGCAGTGCGGCCTCCGGGGCACCACCTGGGGAGTTGGGGCGCAGCACAGACTTCACCTTACTCCCTCACGGACGAGGACATAGCGTAGGTTTTGGTGGTTTAGGGTTTAGGGTTTAGTTGTTCATTGAAAGGAAGGCAAGGGTGACGCATTTCAAGATCTTTTACTATTCGCTGCACTCGAGCCAGTAGGGTTTAGGGTTCATGGTTTAGGGTTTTGCGTTTGGGGTTTGTGTTCAGGGCTGGAAGTCAGGGTTTCTGTGTGCTGAACAACGTGGCGATAGGGGCGGCCTATGCTCGCTACCACTATGCCAACAAAGGTAGGGTATTCCTCTGCATGCATAACCGCAGTTCTTTTGTTTTCTCTTCTCCCTATTTGTTTTACTGTTCTTGCCTTTGCTTGTTGGGTATCAACTTCATATTGTTGCTCTAGCCATTGCCGCCTTCGAACTCATAGCGGATGCCCGCATGCTTACTAAGGGACCTTTGCTGCTGCTGCTGCTTCTTGCTGCAGGCATTCGGCGTATTGCAATCGTTGACTTCGACGCTCATCACGGCAACGGCACAGAACAGATCGTCCGCAACGTGGGGCTGAAGTTCAGAAAGCTGCAGGTAACAGCTCTAAACCCTAAACCCTTGTTGTCAGTTGTGTTGTGTAGGGGTAGGGAAGTCGGTTGCATTTCGTTGTTCTGCCTGGGCTGTACTGAAAGTTCATCAAGATGCCTTCGCTGTTCTTTTGGTATGTTTTCAGGGTCTGTCTGCGCTCCTCTCTGATGAGCAGCGCGTGCCTCGGGAGGGCGCCTGGGGCCGCCCCTATGGCGTGGGGGACGCCGAGGGGGCCCGGGGGCCTACAGAAGAAGGGGGGCCCCTTCAGGATGTACCCTTAGAGTTGCCCGTCTGGCTGGGGTGGAGAGACGACAGCGATGCAGCAGAACTGTTCTTCGCATCCATTCATGGTTAGACTTTGCTGCTGCTGCTGGTCCTGCTCCTGCTGGTGCTGGTGGTTGTGGCGTTGCCGTTGCTGCAAACCGAACTTGCTACTGCTGCCGCTGGAGGTTTACTGCATGTGCGTCTTCACAACTGCTGTTTGTTTGCTGCAGCCTTCGATGGGAATTTCTACCCAGGCACGGGAGCAGACTGCGAGGAGTTAGGTAAGCTTTTTTTCTTCTTTCCTCTTGCGTTGTTACAACAAGGAAGAAAAGACTTTCCCTTGTTCTCTATTTTGGGGTTTTTGCCCACCCTCCCTAACTTGCCGCTTCGGTTGTTGTTGCTTCTGTTGCGCTATAGGTGGACCCACCATAGTGAACGTGACGCTTCCGGTGCAGCACGCGTGTTCGAGTCCTGTGGAGGGGACGGAAGGAGAAAGCAGCTGCTGCCGGTGCTCTCGCTGCAACGTGCGTAGCTGCGTGGGTCCTGTACCGCGCACCTCCTCTCCAGAAGCAGGAGCAGCAGCAGCATCAGCAGCAGGAGCAGCAGGTTTTCGGTGTCACTGCTGCCGGCGCCCCGGTCTGTCGGCGCGTTCTGTGCGAGGGCGGGAGCTCTTCAGGCGGCGCGTGCTGCGGCGGCTTGAGGCCTTCAAGCCGGACTTGATTTTTTTGAGTGCGGGTTTCGATGGTCACATCCTGGACCCGATTGGGGGAGAGGCATTGGGCTGGACAGAAGAAGACTTCCACTGGCTGACGCTGCAGGTGCAGCAGGTCGCCCTCAGGTGCTGCAACGGCCGTTGTGTCAGTGTCCTTGAAGGAGGCTACAACGTACGAGGCGCAGCAGCTTCTCCTCTCTCGCGTTGTGTGAGGCAGCATGTGAGGGCCCTCGTTAAGGCAGCTCATTTGCAACTCGACGCACAACTCCGAGAAACCGCCGCCGCAGCTCAGGCTTCTGCTGCTACTGCGGCTGCCTCGGCAGGGGAGCATACAGCTCCGACTGCGGTTGCTGCAGCAGCTGCTGCCGCACAGGACCGCAAGGCCGCGGTGGACGTCGACAGCCACCGCACAACAACAGCGGCAGCACCAGCAGCGGCGGCAGCAGACGTGCTGCAGCAAGGTTTGCACACCCCTGGCTATGACGGCCACTGCAACAACGCGCAGGGGGCTTCTGGGACTGGGCCTCTATGGGAGGAGGTGGATTCTTCAGACTGCTGCAGCAGCAGCAGCAGCACCTTCGTCTCAGATGATGAATTTAGTGGCATGCCGGAAGATGGCAGGCCAGCAGACGACGGCCACGACGACGTCTTCGCTCCAGATATTGAACACTCGGAGCCGTCAGAGCAGGAGCCCTCAGAACCTCAGGGGGCCTTAGGAGGGGCCCCAGGAGGGGCCCCCGAAAGTCCCCAAGCGGCGTCACACCCGCAGACTTTCTGCGCTCAAGGGCCTGAAGGCGGCGGCCTGCAGCAGCAGCCGCAGCCTTTGCCATTCATACCTTCGGCTGCTACCGGGTTTGCCCCTCATCATCATAGCCTTGTTCCAAACCCCGCGGTGTATGGAGAACAGTCACCACCGTCGGCAGAGGATCCGTGCTTCAAGCTGCACATGATGGGGGCTGCTGCGGCAGCTGGAGTAGCCCCCACAGCTGCAGCAGCAGCAGCGGCAGCAACGGGTGGGCCTTGGAGCAGCAATGATGACTCGCGAGCTTTCCACACCATAAATGAAGGCCTAAGGAGCCCTTCGGCCATCTCATCGCTTTCAGAAGACACCGCGGCGGCATGCAGCGGCAGCTGCCCGGAGTCAGCTGCTGCAGCGGCAGCAGGAAAGCTGGACCAGCCGGCAGGGGGGGCTTTGCTTGTGGCAGGTGGAGCTGGTGAGGCCGCAGCTGCGGGTTCATCAGAGGGCGGTTTTCCTTTGCAGCAGGCTCCTCTTGCAGCCTCAACGAGCACCACCGTAGCAGAAAGGTTCCCCTGGGTGGGGGCCCCCGCAGCAGCAGCAGCGGGACAGCGGGGTCCCCCGGAGGGCCCTTGCAGCAAAGCAGAGAGGCTGCAGTATTTGTGTGGCTTCTAGGTGTTGCAGCAGACGCGGAGGAGGAGAAAGCACCCGAAAGCTGCAGCTGCGGTGTCTGCCAAGCTCCTAGGAAGCGCTGTGGTGGTTGTAGTGGCGCTGTTCACCAGATATGCATAATAAATATATGTTAATATAAATATACATTATATATTAATATATACGTTTGATATACGGAGCAGTGATTGGCTGCAGTTGAATGCGTTTTATGTGAGAAACAGACAGAAGCTGGGGGTTGTGCGGCAAGAAGGCGCTGCAGGTGTTCTCTATGGCTGCAGCGAGTGCCTGGGTCTGAATAATAATTGAAGCCACAGGCAGGCAGCTGAAGGGGTCGAGAGGAGACGCAACAGAAGAGAATCGCAGCAGCAAGCGGCCGGCGCCAGGTGGACTTCCAGCTCGCAGTTGGTTGCATGCATGCGTGCATGCATGCTTGGGGTGTTTGTATGTACGGCAGCGTTCTTTAGTTATTCGACTCTCACAGCGCAGTCCCGCCGCAACTGCCGTTGTGCATGCAGGGTCTCCCAGGATGCAGTTTGGGGCTTTGTTCGAATAGCAGTTCATAAGCCTTGGTCTCAGCCGAGTGCATGCGTGGGGAAGCCCCGCAGCACAGCAGCGCGGCGCGTCCAGCAGCAGTAGCAGCAGCAGTCTTCCCAGTGAACAGCTCAGGGACTACTGACTTGCCTCTGCTGCCGCTGGGCTCTCAATCTCTTTCGTTCTTTTTCTGAGCACTAAGTAATAAATAACCCGGGAACCCAAAATGAATCTGAATTCACCCATCTGTAGTATACATGCGTGCATGCTAGCATGCATGGACGCTGTAGTTGTCTGCTAGCTGCAGCAGCAGCCAAGTAGCATCGAAGCCGAGTGGCATGCACTTTCGAACGGCAGCAGCAACGCCGCGTGAGCTACCACCCGGCAACATCACTTGAGCAAAAGCACACACCGTAGGGAGGCTATTGCTGGCGCTACACGGCGGTTGCTGCTAGCAACTAGCTGCAGGACAGAACGATTAGCAGCAGCGAGACCAGCAACAGCAGCATGTGTGCGCTAGTGCCACTTAGTCCTCAGCAGCCGCAAGTTCGATGAGCCGCATAGATGCGCGTTGCTCCTCCTCTATCTTTGCCTTGTCCTGTATATAACACCCAACAGCATGCAGCCAGCCCCAATCCACCATCCCACAAACGCATCCCCAGCACAGCCGCAGCAGCCTCCCAGTAGGAGATTCTCAGAACATGATGTTTGCTGAATATACACAATATTTCAACAGCGTATGCAGAAATGCATGCATGCAGGCATGCATGCATATCTCCTACGTACCTCTTCTGATGGCGTAAGCTTAATGATGCGGTTGCAAATGGAGACGAGGTCCGTCTCCTTGCTAAACCTGCCTAGTTTTATAAGAGCTTCCGCAACTTGCTCCAGCTCCTCTTGGGTCAAACACAAGAAGCGGCCTCGGTCGTCTAACACACCGCACAGCCGCCCGCTTTCTCGTAGGGCCTCGATCCGCTTCACACATTCCTGTTCACACACCGTACACCCCTTATGCACCCTCGTGATTTGTAACAGACCATCACTGGTGCAGCATGCAACAAAAACGTTAATGCAAGGTATTAGATTACTTTAGTCTTGAGGCCGAACTCGGCAGCAATTTCCTCCAATTCTACCGCCTTGCGCATTTTAATGAACGTCAGAAACTGCTCCAACTGTCGCGCCTCCTCTTCTGGAGAAATATTCAACTCCCCCTCCGCCTCGATCTCAAATGTTTTCTGCCCACACAGAAACAGGCAAATGCATGCAAGCGCATGCATGCATGCATTTGCATGCAAGTGCATGCATCTGTACGTATGTCTAAAGAGCCCTCCTGCGCCTGACTGCCGGCTGCTGTTGATGGCCGCGCATTAAACACTTGGTGCTCAAACCCTAAACTCTGAGCCCCAAAACCTTGCCTTCCACTCTTCATATTCCTCCTGCTCCTTCTTGCGTTTCTCCTCAGCCAGCCTCTCCTCCTCTGCCTCGCGTTCCGCCCTCAATCTCTCTTTCTCCGCCTACAGAAGCAGTTGCAACAACAAACGCTCTGTTGCTGTCAAACCCTCCCTGACCTGCTGCTCATCTGTTATCTTTGCTGCATCTGTGTGTAGTGCTATCTATCGTTGCACACATTAAATCTGCACTTGGGGTATGTGAAGTGTCGAAGGAAAAAAGACTCAGCGGTGCATGCAGCCCCGACACCCAAGGGAAGTAAGTACCTGCCGCTTTCTGTAGGCCTCTTGCTTCGCCTGCTTGTGCGACATAGGAGGCGCTCCTTCGTTCTCTGAGTCGGAATCAGCAGCAGCAGCAGCAGCAGCTGCTGCTGCTGCTGCTGCTGACGGTGAAGCTGTTGAAGTCTCCGCTTGTTGCCGCCGCTGCTCGCGGCGTTGCTCCCTTTCCTCCCTCTTTTTCTGGGCAGCTTGCAGGTCTGAGCACGGGGCAGCGGCGGCCCTTGTGGCCCCAGACCCACCGCCTGCACCACCTCTCATGAGGTTCTCCATAGCTGAGCGGTCTGTTCTCCGTCTGCGAGTTTCAGTAACTCGAGGTGGCGCCCTGAAGGACGCGTAAAGTTGCAAACAACAAACGGAAAACAAATCATGAACAGTGTTAAAGTGCGCATGAAGAGGGAGCCCCATGGAAACTCAGAAGTGGTAGGCTCATGTGCCCAGGCTGTAATGTTTCGGGTCTAGGGTTACCCTGTAGGAGTCCTTTCTGCCGCCGGGTTCATGAACTTGGTGACAACCCATCCGACAAGAACGCAGAGCGTCGCGACAACAACGGCTGCTGCCGTAATGCTGATAGTTTGCGTCTCATCGCCTTCTAAAGGGGCTTTATGCTGGCGGGCAGAGGCCAAAACAATCCAGCGGCTGCAAAGTGTCAGTAAAGCCAAAGCAAAGCCCCAGAGCAACTTCTGCTGGAAAGACCGCCATTGAAGGCACGCGATGGCACCCTCGTGCTTCCCCATGATAGATAGGGGACACAGTAGGTGCTCGAGTCAACTGAAATTCAAATTCTGAAGCGTAAGCAGCAGGGATATGAATTGCTGCTGAATTCCCATCCGGTCGCCAGGAGAAGCGCAGAATGCAAACCGTTCAAGTGGCGCAGGAGGGGTGCAATGGCAACATTATCTATGTTGCAGTGACGAAGAAAACATGAAAAATGTGAATTATTGAGTGAGAAATAGTGGCGAGGCTGGCGTTAGCAGGGACAAAGCAAAACGCCGCGCCTATGTCTTGTTGAATCGGAAATTTGAACGGGTAAGAAGAAATTCCCTGAGTTTCGTTATAACGTAATACATGCACTACTATATGTGAAATACAATATTTCACTATTCAAAATGAATCCCATTGGTGAATACATGCGGCTATGCAGACAGCGAGAGTCACGCGGCACGAGCTCAAGCAAACAGACCCAGGGCAACGGAGAGCTGCTGCATGCAGGGCTTACGATTTCCCTAATCCTTCTAAATGCCTTTTTATTACAATGTTCACTGCAAAAGCTTCCAAGCTGTTCTTTTATGTGGGATATTTATGCGAATTTCTGCAACGCCTCATCACGAGCCCAGCAGTCACTGAACCGAAACGGGCGAATGACTGGAACTTAGTATCTAATACTGCACGGTTAAGTGTAAGAAAGTTAATAAATATATTCGCATTACCCTTCTACATTTGGTCAAGCTGTGTATTGTGGAGAAGTCCCCTCTGTAAGCTTCGCCTCCCCCCTCTTCCGGTCTTGCAAATGCACACGATGACGCCAAAATATCGGACTACACAAGGGGGATCGCAGCCTCTCTTCGCGACCTCTCTGAGTTACTCAGGTGTCTACGCAGATGTTGTCTCATTGTAAATGGAGTTTCTCGCGTTTTGCTCTGTGTCGAGTTCTTCCCCTTATCTGCCTCTGCGGGCGGCTGCAATACCAAACAAAGGACTGAGCTGAGGACCTTCCAATGGCTACTCGTCTTCCTCTGCTTCGTAAGGAAGCATCAAGGCTTCCTGTGCATGCATGCAGCTGCCATGTCAGTTGGGAAGGCGATTTGTTGTGCTCGCGCAGCAGTTTTTCTGGTACTTCCCACCTTTCATATGGCACTCTGCTGCGCGCAGCAGCTGGCAGCAGCACCATTAAACGGCCACGCCCCTCAACCAGCTATGCAATAGGCAGCTGCAGGCCTCCTTCTTCAATGTTTTGCTGCAGTCGTTCAGTATCGACCTGGGCTTCGGTGCCTCCATGGGTATATCCTGCTGTTGCTGCAACTACATTGGGTGTAGTGGCGCACCGGCGATGGTTTCAGCAGCAGCAAACGTTCATAGACTCGGGCGCATGTGCAGCAGCAGCAGATATGCTACAGGCGATCTCGGGGTGTACAGACAGCTCAATTGAGCAGTCGCTGTTCAGAAGCAAACTGCACGTCTCGGTTGGGGCGGAGACAGAATATGTCGTTCTGCCTAATCCTCAGAACCCAGCAGCAGTAGCTGCTTCGTTGGGTCTTGGTGCTTCAGCTGCTGGTGCTGCAGCAGCAGGAGCTGCTGCTGCTGGCTCAGGGGGTGTAGGTGACCTCCTGTTGTTCTTTCATGGTGGACTGTGTGGGAGCGACCAGCTCCTTGCCTCTGGGGTCTCTTTCCCACCCAATATTAGCCACCTCCTGTTGCTTAATAGGCAAGGGTACCTCCGTTCTTCGCTGCCTCCTTTATGGGAGCAGCAACAGCCGCAGCTCTTTAGGCCTAGACGCAGCAGGTCTTCTCTCCCCGTCACCGAGGAAAAAGACACGCTTTACAGACACCGCATGCGGCGTCAAGCAGCACTTTTTAATGATGTAGTCAGATGCGTGCAGCAGCAGCAGCAGCATCGGCAGCAGCAAGCGGTGCACCTGCTGGGGATGGGTGTGGGCTGCGCGCATGCAATTGCATACAGCCATTTCTTCCCTCAAGGAGTCCGGAGCATATCTCTGGTAGATCCGCAGCTGCAGCTGCATGCAAGGACTGCGGGGGGGGCCCTTGAGGAGCACGTCTTAAGGCGAGTTGGGGTGTACAGACACCTCGTAGATCGGCTTCTGCCAAGGGGAGCCACCAACATTCGCGTGCCTACTCCTAAGATTTCAGGGTTTGAGTTTCTTGCATCAGCAGCAGCACAGTACCTCCCACGGGCTGCTGTTTTCATGCTGCTGCATGCAACAGTAGCCAAGGCACACATGACAGCCCTGCCCTCGGTGCAGCAGCTGCTGCACGATCTGCAGCAGGAACCGTCACTGCAGCAGGTGCTGCAGCAAGTGCTGCTGCAGCAGATTCAGCACACCTCCGACACAACACACAACTCTCCTTCGCAAGGAGTTTCTCAATCCAACGTAGAGCAGCAGGCGCAGCAGCAGCAGCAGCAGCAGCATCTGTATCGGCCGCTGCTGCTGCGACTGCAGCATGCAACTGGCTGCTGCTACTTGGCTCAGCGCCTTGCGGGCTTCATTGAAGACTGTTTGCTGCTTTGGGGAGACTCCATAGAGGCCTCCGCTGCTGGTTGGCTGGGTGAGTGCTTCTCGGAGCTGCAAGTCCCGCGGCTGCTTTTGCATGCAAGCAGCAGCAGCAACAGCAGCAGCAGCAGCGAGCTGCAGAAGGCTTGTAAGGCCCCAGGGGCATCTCAGGCACCGCTGATAGTCCAGGATGTGCCTGGCGCACAGCCTCCCACGTTGTTGCTGACGCATGCAAAGCACATAAGCAGCGCGCTACAGCAGGTGCTGCAGCAACAGCAGCAGCAGCACGGTATCTGACTAGCTTCCCTGAAGCTTCCGAGGTGGGGCTTTAGGGCTTGCTAACTTAAAATGCATGCATTTGAAATGCATGCTTAGGGTTGTGTTGCTGCTGCTGCACTGCAGCAACTGGCTGCTCGTGCTGCAGCAGCAAAAACAGCTAAATGCTTCCTTATAAAGACAACTAATACTAAGGAAGCAATTAACATAAGAAAAGGCTGTCTAAGGGATCGAGCATCTACTGCTCCTCCCGCTAGCCTCTGTCGGACCTGCAGCAGACTGCTGAAGCATCATGACAAGCCCCTGCAGGTGCCCCTGCAGCAGCAGCAGAACGTCTTGCTGCCTGCGTATGCTGCAGCTACAATTGCTGCTGCTGCAGCAGCTGCTGCCGCAACAGCAGTGGCTGCTGTTGCAGCCATTGAGGCACAATAAAGTTAAGGATAAAATAAATATGTAACTTTATTTACTCGGACAGACTCTCCTGCAGCCAACCACCGATGGCTTGGATGCGAGTTTCAAGGATCTGCATGCAGCAGCAAGCAGCATACATATATTAACATTTTATTACCTCCTCTTTTAAGGGTTTAGGGTTTAGGGTTTAGGGTTTGGGACTTACCGAACTTATCGTCACCGCAGACTCGATGTAAGATGCGCACAGATTTGTGCGAACCCTTTGCCTTGCCTCCTCCATTAGCTGTCAGCACAAACAGCATGCAGCAGCAGCAGCAGCAGCAGCAGCATGCAGCAGCAGCAGCAAGTGCAGCAGCAGCAGAAACCTCTAGTTTTGTATTTTTTTCAGTAATGTTTGTTTTTCCTTTTATTCCTCTTTTGAATTCTTTTTAGCAATTAATTATTAACAATAATAATAACATTTATTATTTATTATTATTTATTTATTTATTTATTTATTTTTCTTACAGTATCGTCATCAAGAGTATAAGGGAAATCTACGGCGGAGGCGGAGCTCCGCCATGGCGGCAGCCCGATGAACTCTAATCGTTTTGCGGTATCCATAGCATCAACTATCTGCATGCACAAACCCTAAACCCTAAACCCTAAACCCTAAACCTTTGGGTTAATGTTGAATACCGGGACTGCAACCCCTGAGTGAGCCATCCAAAACCCTACGCCTCCATGGCACACCGAGGATGTACAGCATACACAGACCCTAAACCCTAAACCCTAAACCCTAAACCCTTATAAATTGCTGACTCCGCGCTGCTGTCCTTGTATACGGTCTAAGAATGCATGCAAGTAGGGCTTCGTTGCTTGCAAGACAGCCCCAAAGACATTCTCGCTGTTGCTGTTGGCCTTTGTGACCGTTTTGTTCCAGAGCTGCATGCAAACAGCAGCAGCAGCAGCAACAACAGCAGCAGCAACAACATTAGCATCGACTTGTTACCATTCCTTCTGCTATGCTGCTGCTGCTGCTGCAGTGCTGCTGTTTCTGCCCCGACCTCAGCACAAGACATCCAATATATTTATATATTTATATATTTATATATGTAGGGTTTAGGGTTTAGGGTTTAGGGTTTATGCTTACGGTGAGTTGTTGTAGTACAGAGAGGATAAGAGCAAGAGAGACAGAAGCAACTTGCGCTAATCCAAATAAGCCCTCAAAGATTGGCAATATTTTTCTTGATTCAGTAGCAGCAGCAGGAGCAGCAGGAGCAGCAGCAGCAGCAGCAGCAGCCGCAGGAGCATCAGCAGCAGTATCAGGAGCAACAGAGGGCCTAACTAAACCCTTCATCTCCCCAACACCATCCAATACAGAGGTGCAGCACATTAGGACGCATTCTGTACGTACACCCCACAGCAGCAGCAGCAACAGCAGCAGCAGCAGTGATACAAAGGATACAAAAGGGAGACAAAAAGGAGACACATAAAAAAGAGGCAAAAAAGGAGACAAAAAAGGAGACAAAAAAACGTAGAAAAGAAAAACAAAAAAGGAGACGAAAAAGGGGACGAAAAAGGAGACAAAAAAGGGGACAAAAAAAGGAGACAGTATAAATTACCTTGGCAGCCATCTAATGCCTCGCATAAATTATTAGATATGGAGACACATTCTTCATCAAACTTCTCCTTTGTATATCCCTGAATGCATGCATGCATGCATGCACAACAAATGCATGCATGCACAACAAATGCATGCATTCACAACAAATGCATGCATTCACAACAAATGCATGCATGCACAACAAATGCATGCATGCATGCACAACAAATGCATGCATGCACAACAAATGCATGCATGCATGCAGGCGCAATTCAAATGAATAGCGCCTTAAGGCCCAGGAAGTAACCCTAAACCCCAATAAACCCTAGCAGTAAACCCTAATCTAGGGTTTACTGAGTTATAGACTTACCTCTGTTTTTTTATGTAGGTCTACTGTTTGCTGCAGCACTTGCAGCATTCTGCATTGATGCCTATACACCCCAACTAGTACCCTGCAGCCGCTGCAGCAGCAGCGGGAGGCCCCAAGGGCCTCCGTCTGCCTAGCAGAGGCAGAAGGCCACGTAGAGCGGATACAGCCGCACTCAGGGCCTAAGAGACACCCACAAACCCTAAACCCTAAACCCTAAACCCTAGACCGTATATGTTGTAGGCAAAAGGAATCAAGACGGAGAATAACAGCAGCAGGCAGATGCAGAAACACACTAGAAAGCAATCATAAACCCTAATAAACCCTAATAAACCCTAATAAACCCTAATAAGTAGCAATAAAACCCTAAACCCTAATAAGAAAAAGAAGAGGGTATAAACTAACCATTGAGGACTTGTTGCAGTTCTGCTATATAACGATCTATATGACAAAGAAAAGATTTATTAAAATCTGCTGATGGCCGCATAATGGAGAAAAAAAGAAGAAGACGTCTGCAGCACACATAAACCCTAAACCCTAAACCCTAAACCCTAAACCCTAGCCCCGAAACCCTAGACCGTAGAACCTAAACCCTATATCCTAAGCTGTTGTTGTGTAGGGTTTGAGGTGACTCTTTACGTTTGCTGCTACACTGAAAGGGTTTAGGGTTTAGGGTTTAGGGTTTAGGTACCTTGCTCTGCCGGGTATGGAGCGACGGAGACAGCCGACGACGTCTTCAAAGGCAGAAGAGGAATAACAAGAAAATTGTGTGCTGTTGCATGCTGCTGCTGCTGCTGCTGTGCATGCAGAGGGGTTATCTTGGGGCTTTCGTGCTGCACAAGAAGGGGAGAGGCAGCAGCAG